CAAAAAAAAAAAAAAAAAACAGTTTATGCATAATCGAGCCCGAGCTCATCATCGCCATTCTAAACTTCAATGTTAACACGTTGCAGTCTTGTTGCCTTCAATCAAAATTGACAAGTGAATGCAAGTGATCTCTTAATAATTGATTGATACTTTTGCTTTAAGCTTTGTTTTTCTTGCACGATTCATCATCCGATAATGTCGAAGTAGTTAAAAGAACGTTCCTTTACAAAGATTGGTATCTAACACATAAACAAAGTGAACTCCATTTTCAGACCATGAAAAGATCAGATCTTTTTTTACACTTCCTATTCAAAAAAACACAACCCATCTGCATCAGTACAAAGAATATCCCATAAGCCCACACAAACACACAAGCAGATCACGAATCATCATAACCCACGAATCGAGATGAAGGGATTAACTGAAAGAAACCCAAAAATTCAAAAGTTATACAAACTTGATTTAATATGTTGAGATTAAGAGATTCATACCTTCGGCTGAATGGAAGTGATGAACCTCCGGTGAGCTGTGGAGTAAAAGGTAGAGTCTTTGTATTGATCTTGGATTAGTCACCAGAAAAGTCTTTTTACTTTCTTTCCTTTGTCGCTCTGTATAGCCATAGGTATATACTCGAACACCTGTGCATTTTCTGCTGTTTTCCTGTAAGTGGGGACGAGCATAATCAATTTTCAATTTTTATCACTATAATTATCATTTTTAATCAGTTGGTCTCATGTTAACTCAATATATTTATTTTATAAATATTCGAGGTGTACCAAGTATTAGCTGACTTAACGAGAAATTGTGTATTTTAATAAATTTATCCAAGTCTTCGAGTTAGGAATGTCTGCAAAGTGCTGGTAAGTTGGGAATATGATAGGAGTTTTGAATTCCACGCGCACTACGTGTCACTTTCAAGCTCATTGATAGGAGGGTATTGAATGAGTGAGATTTATGAAACAGCGTGGCAGCCTATCATTTGCCGTTAAAAAGATGTGTATTTTACTATTGTTTTTTTCTTTTATTTGCTCCTTTTACTGGGTTTAGACTTTTTTACCTTTTTTTACCCTTTTTATGTAAGTCAACATGTATATTTGTTTTAGTCTTCAAGATTTTTTCTGTGGCTTATATATAATCGTGTGGTCGTTTTAGTTTCAAACTGTCAATTCTTCAACTTCATTATTTGCCTCATTAATAATTTACGCTTAGAAGCAGCTTACATCACATATCAAACAAAACCAAATATTTTAAGGGAAAATTCTATTCTATAGCTTGACCTTTTGTTATTGTATTATAATATGACCTAAATTTTCAACATTTTCATTGGAGAGTTTCAATTTTAAGTTATTGTAATTTAAAGGCTTACTTTTACATTCTATAGTTCTCAATTTAAGACACCTACTTTAAGAAGATTAATTCATTTAAGCTGAATTAATTTTATATAAATATAATTTATTTGAATTAATTTTCTTACCAAGCTAGTTTTACAAATATGTTTAATACTTTTATCTAAGGTATTAATTTTATATATTCTTAACTTTTACAAAAATATAAATTTTATTAAAAATAATTTTTTCTATAATTTTATTTAAAAAATTTATATATTCTTAACTTTTGTATAAATGTAAATTATGAAATAATTATTTTATTAGGTAATTTTACTAATATATTTAATATTTTTCATTATAAATACTTAAAAAATAAATTTAAAACAAAAGTATTGTGGTTTACATAATTATGTCAATATACAAAATGATTGGAGTCTTAAATTGAAAAGTAGTACCATAAAACTCATAATAACAATATCCGGTAACCAACGGATTAGAATCAGCCCATTGCCAAATAGGCCACTCAGCCAAGGACTGACAATGGGATCAAACCAGATAGCTAGACCCTAAATGAACACCACGGTCTCCCTAACCTAAAATTACAAAGAAACAAAATGAACAGATAGAATTTCCCCTTTATTTTAATTACTTCACTTTATATCCTGACATTATTATTAGTTCTTTTTTTCCAATAGAATAAAAAGTGATTAAAATATAAAAAATTGTAAATATTGAGAACTAATCATTATTTTTTCTTCAATAATTCGAAATGTATAATGTACATGAGGTTGCATTTCGCTCGGTATGGGTATTTGGACTTAAGTCAACAATGTTAACTACTACATTGACCTTCTGAGACTAGGTACGAATATTTTTGTGATTTGAGTAGATTTGTGTCTGAACCAGATTGATATATCTCTGGACAACGCTGAAAGTACTTTTTTTTTTTTATTATTATTAACCTTAAAATAAAAGGAAGTGTTGTAGGGATGATTAACAAACAAAATTACCCTTGATTACTTTTGGGCTGATCACTGTAATTTGCAAAACAATTCAAAAAGGTTTTATTTTTATTTTTTATTTTTTTTCTCTCCTATTTTCCTTGTTCTTTTTCTACAGGTAAGAGCAACTCACAAGCTTCTTACTACATAAACTTTGATGAAAATGCAAATTAATTTGATGGTGTGAGAACGACAAATATAATTGTTAACAATAATTGAAAACTGAACCACACCATTTTAATAATGTGGAGTTCTCAACCCTTGAGCCAAGAATTCTTCAATCTTGATATTACGCTTAATATTGGTTACATTCATACCCAAAACAACACCTATTACATTCACTCCTAGTTCACTTTGTATTTTTTTTGCCTACAATTTATATCTTTTTAGCATGAGAGCTCAATTAAAGAAAATTGATTACCAATTTTCTTTCAAATTGGTTTAATGATCATTGCACTTGGTCATACTCATAGCCGTTGTGGAAACGAACCTCGATGAGAAGGCGTAATACTTGTAATAATCATCATCCGGGAAGTCTCCCGACCCACATATGTCGAAGTTTAAGGAATAGCTCAGTGGGTCATAACGACATTGGAAGGATGACTGGCGGCTCGCCGGATGCAACTTTGTGGGTCGTCTTTGGATAAACCTTCTCATCAATCTCGACAGGCCACAACATGTACTGGCTGATGTTGATGATGCAGTACAACTACTGGAACTACTACTACTTCTACATTCTGTTCTTTTGGCATAATTAATGCATCTGCTGGTGGTGGTGGTGGTGCCGCCACCGGAGGTGGTTTTCGGCCGCCGGCCGGTGGTCGGAGCTAGATTTGCCATGGTCTCTTGGGGGTGGTTTTGGTCTTTTCTTGTTGGACTCTGATGCAAATGAAAGCTTTTTCTTTCTTTTCTCTCTTGGTTTTGAGTTTAAGGTGAAGTTGTTGTAGTGTTTCTATCAATTGGGGGGAATATATCATGTTTATATAGGATAGGACTATGAGGAGAACCATTGGTTGCCAAATATTTGATTAAATTATATATGTTATTTCTTTTATTTACATGTAGTAGACTTCTTGATATTGTGTTCCAAGTGGTCTCATGTGAAATGAGAACCTTTTTAAATTAGAAATTTATTTACTAGCTACAAGGTGGATACATTGCACATGACATGAGTGCACATGGTTCATACACTGCCTTACATAATATTGTCTAAAATGTACAACTATCAAACTCACTTGATTAATGTTGTTACATTTTAGCATAGATTACATCTATATGGAAGGGAAGTCAGATCATTCAAAGCATTATGTGGGCTTAGGAGTTACATCTATATGGTATGGTTTACTTGTTGTATAGAATGTTGGCTTCACTATGGAGTTAACTGTTGGCTTCATAGCAAAACCGCTTTAGAGAATCGGGATAAGAGAATGCGGTCCCCATGCAGATGAAGACCATAAGAGGGTGGGCCTAGGTGCAATACTATAGTGAGGTTCTTTTCCAAAACCAATTGATGATGGGAGGAGTAGTCCACTAGCCATATAAGCTAGGCCCAATTTCCCTATAGAATCAATGTAGGACAACTCATAAGTGATACTCCAACAAGATTTCAATTATCAAAGTATATATACAAATGGAAGAGGCTGATTAGCTTATTGTACATATCTAATGAAATATTAAAATGGGAAACTTTATATTAGAGTTAAAAAATGCATTGCACATGCCTAAGGGCTTCTTAGGCTTTCAATTAATTCATTAATTTTGAGGAGGATACCTTATTTGAACTTATTATTAATCATTTTATGTTCACATTTATTTCTATGTTACACAGTAATTTAAAATTTTAAAACTGATTTCTTTCTCTAATATATGAAAGTAATAAATATAATTATTGCAATATTGTATTTTTTTTCAATCTGATGTGTAATATTTTCAATCATTAACATGGATTTTTGGCAGCATTATACATCCAATATATATATATATTTTAATTTGTTTGATGAAATGATTTTATTTTATATTTCCTAATTTAATTAATAGGAGTGTCATCATACACCATACACGAATCTCGTTGCCTGATAATAGCACATGCCACGGCTAGCTATTTTCAGCTTGTAATGGTCAGAGTGTTGATATGTGTTTTCATATACTAAATGCATGCTTGATAAAATCGAGGTAGGTTCAGACCCCTCAATTATCCTATTATGATTTTGATTATAGCAAATGAAATAAATAAAGTGTCCATTTTTGTATCTGCAGTGTTAAAAATGAAAACAAAAAAAAAAAAAAGAATAAATTAAAAAAAATGAATTAAATATAATACAATAAAAGAAATTATACACTTATTAATAAAATATAAATAATTTACTTGCAAATGATTGACCAAGATTAGTAATCTGGCAGCAACGTCAGATTATGATAAAATATGTAATTGAATTTGAGACATCAGTAGGTGATGATAAAATATGTAATTGAATTTGAGACATAAGTAGGTGACGCTTGGCACTACCAGAAATAATGTTAAATTTATAAAATTATCACTTATCAAGATCAAAGCATCCTATCTATGACACTCATTCACTCTTTTACTTAAACTCTTGGATGCTTGGATTATTTGCAAATGACTACTCTAAGGAATTCTCTAGAACATATATATAATGTCTTGGGCATTCTAGATGTTTCTACAAAACTCTTACACACATATCTCTACTACAATTCTCTACAATATTTGGGAAGTTCTAGAAGACTCCACATTACTCCCAAAGGTTCCACATGCTTCTAGGTCCTTCCACATTATTTCAGAACCTTCACATTTTTCCGGGCCATTCTAGATGCTTCCGGAACCTTCTACAATATTCCACAATATTCCACATTTTTCCAGATTGTTCTAGATGCTTCCGGAACCTTCCACAAGATCCACAACGTTCCACATTTTTCTGGACTGTTCTAGATGCTTCCGGGTCCTTCCCAAAAGGAGGTGTTGATATTTTAACAATGTTGTCCTATTATCTCCAATTCATTTATTCTAAGTTTCAATTCATTTTATGAAAAAGTTTCAATTCATTTAAAAGAAAATGATTGAACATAATTCAACCTCGATGAAGAATATGGATTAATAAATTGAAAGCCTGGCTAAGTTTTATGTCAAGGTAGAAAACGGGACAGAGGCTAGATTCTTAACAAAAGATTATTTACTAGCAAATATTGTGTTTTTTTGTTTTCATTTCTTTCCAACTTTAAATTCAATAATTGAAGTTATCATGTGATGTACGAACAACTTGCAATCCGACTCACTGCCTATTGAGGAAAAAAAAATCAAATGACATGGCGCGCGAGTATTTGACTCTATCAATGTGGCACAATCTATTATTATATTGAGATTCGAATCGTAATATTATTACAGGTGCACACATACATAAATGCAGATTTATTTTGATCTAACGGTTAGACTTCCAGAGTGAAATTCACCATGCTCCGATATTGCAAGTGCTTAACAGAAAAAGGAAGATGGTAAGTATATAATTTAAGAAAAAAATAAATGGACCCTTTTTTAAGGGGAAAAAAAAAAAGGAAAAAAGAAATAGTAAGGGAGATGAACAATGAACATTAATATTAGGAATTTAGGATTCATGGAAAGTTGGCATGCCTCGAGTTAGGGAAGCGCTGCGCCTTAAAATGGAGTTGAAAAAAGGTGAAAATAGCTACTGGCCGTAATAAGTGGCTGAATTTGAGGTAATCTTGTTGTTTTAAGGTTAATTTTGTAAATTAAATTCACATCACGATGTAGATTCATGCATGAACCTGATTATTGGGGAACTTATACTTTATAGTTTCTTTTATTCTTAACCAGCGTTACTTGGTAAACATTTCCAATTAATTTATCCTAATTATGCATGAAAAAGAACGNCCTTTTCTCTATCCTTCTTCCTAACAATAAAAATAATTTTTCGTATGAATTGACGTATTCCAGCGTATTTTGAGAGAATAGTAATTTTCCTAATAAAAAAAATATAATGTTCATGTCGTAGATTTATTTAATTTTTTTATCATCTATGTGTAATCCGGTTTAATTTAAAAACAATGGATAAATTATGATTAATGTTATTTATATGTTTAATTTATAATACAATCATAATATTGTTTTCCCGTGCATCGCACGGGCCACGCACTAGTACTAATAACGAAAGTTGGGTACTCAAGTGAATTTTTCATGTATTAGAATATTAATAACAACGGAAGCATACAGAGTTGGGTACTAAAATTGAGGTACTAAAGTGAATTTTTCATATACTGAAAGTGCGAAACACATACAACATACGTATTAGGTTATCATCCATCTCCCCGCGTATACAATCAACTTAAATTATCAACACAAATAGAATTCATCAAATACACACGAACAAACCAAAAACCATCCATATAATACTGTTAATGGCTATCACTCCACTAACTTGGTAAATCACAAAAAATTCAGCATGCTTCCAAATTAATTAACTCTTTCTTCTAATATAAATAGATAGCACAGTAATTATAACCCGATTTATGCACCGCAATTCATGAAATCAGTCTCTTCTCAGCTGAAAAGCAATAACACTACAACTTTCTACTAAATGTTAATTTAAAGTAACTGCAGCTGCTTAGTTCATATTTTTTTTATTTTTCAATGCACTACGTTAATCATGTTAATTATCTTTTTTGACATGAAATTTGTCTTAGACATTACAGTTTCACCTTAGGTAAGAGGCACAAAGTGAAGTCCATCGGACCATCATAAACAAGCAATTTACAGTTAAAAAGTTCAAAACGAAATCCTTATTCTGTGAGTTGCATATATCTTTATAATCAAAGTATCTATCAGCACATATCACATAAAAATTCAGCCCAAATTCATCCTCAAACGCAATGTACAGAGCCTCGAATGAACCCAAAAAAAAAAGAAAAAAGAACGATAAAAGATAAAATCTAAAACGCAATTTCACAGGGAGCATGAAATGTTCGTCCACGGCAGATGGCCTCCAAGTTCTCTCCAGCATACGAGCAAAGAGGCGAAACTTCCACACCTAATCATTCAAAACACAAAATTCCATTTTTTCAGTTGTACATTCATTTGTAATGACCAATCAAAATACAACAACTATTCTATTTTTATTTTTATTTTCTTTTTCTTCGGAAAACGAGAAAGACTACCAGTAGCATATAGGGGCACAGAATGAGTCAAGAAGCCTCCGGCAGCAACCACCCAACGAGCATGCAAACGAAGGACAAGCAGACGAGCACTGTCTGGAGTGTCGAAATTTGATCCATTCGCGTTTTTCACGGGTGCAAATTCTTCTTCGCGCAAAACCTATACATACAGATGACAAATTCAATGTCTTTTTATTCAAAAACTATGTATTCTAGATTCTTTTTCTATCTGTTAATTCGAAAGCACGATTAAAGAAGTAACAGTATGTACCTCGTAGAGTGCGGTGGAAGGCGCATAAGGAAATGCATCGAATATGAATTGCTCTAATTTGAATCCTACAGTGTGTCNAAAAAAAAAAAAAAAAAAAAAAAAAAAAGAGGAAATTGGGGTGTGGACAATACATTACTCCAACAAAAGCGAAGTCGGCCAGTTGTCTGATTGATTGCACTTGCTAGTGATGAGTCCATTTCACTGTACTCAACCACAGAGATGGGTCCACCTTTACCTCGTTGAACAAAAACACCAACTTTCTCTTGTGGGTATGCCTACAGTTCAACATATTCGAGAAAGAAAAACCTTAAACTATGATGTACAATGGATAATGTTTTCCAGAAAAAAAGTTATACCTTTCGAACAACTTTAGCAGCTGCCGCCACACCCTTATCAATGAAATAACCCAGAAAAGTTGGATCGCCAACTCGTACCTGTTCACAACAAATTTTGTAGCAAGGTATATAAAAACCTGATCAAAAAAGGAAATAGAACGAAATATAGAGAGAATATTAAACATTTTAACTCACTAAAGCATTGTCAACTCCATAGCAGTCCAAGTATTTTATGCCTCTCATTGCCATATCTTCCAATAACCTTGATGTTTTCAATGCTGCAATAGTTTTATCCACGTATAGTATAAAAAAAAAAAAAAAAGGTTGGCTTAATGAAGGTTATAATCAGAACATATACCATTGGGATGCATATGTAGTAGTTAAATTAAGTTTACCTGAATAAACTCCACCATTTCCATCAGGAGACTTTGCCACCTGGCTTTAGAAAAAAGACAAAACATAAAACAAAATCATGAAAAACTTTTAGATTGAAAATCAGTAGATCTGAAACTAATAATTATTTTGTGTTTCAAAAATATGGTTAAATAGGTAACAAATCATACCCTGTATGGAGTTTCCATTATAAATCTACCATCTCTTGACACACAAGGTATAGTGCCCTGTTGGAAGAACGTGACCTGTATTCCATTCAAAACTTTCCTAAGTGCCACTGATGTTCTAAAATCAAGATATAGAACCGAAACAGTTAAAAGCTTCTAACTTGATCTGCTTCGAGGCCAAAATATTTGTGGCTTTCGAAGTATTTTCGTGTGGGTTCATCAGTAAATGGACTGGTCATTATGTACCAATGAATAGGTGTGGTACCAGAAGAAGCTGCATGTAACCAAAATGATTAGGGCTGTTGAAAAAAGAGGATAGTGCAATAAATACAGGATGATACATACCTTCATTTACAGATTGAGCTGCCAATCGTTGAAGGCACAAAATTCGCTCAGCTTGAATTCGGAAAAGTGATTTTCCAGATGGAAGCCCAATGTCTAAGATTAGGATAGAAAACAAGGATCAAATAGAGGTTATTTTCAAGGAAAAAAAAATAGTAGTTATCAAAGAATACCAAAGTCAAGATACGCACACCAGTGAGTATTAGAAATATTGCCTCATGAAAAGTGAATATAATCTTATAAAAGCATGTTTTAAAAGAAAATTTGAATTCCCTCATCAGTGGTAAACTCAGTCAGTAAATAATTTCTCTGAACAAGAAAAATCAACTTTACTTACTAAAACAGCCTTTAGGATCTGAACTCCCAAGACGAGTTCCCTGCATTCCAAAGATTCAAAATCACAAAGAAAATTTAAGAACCACTTAACCAGAGTAAATCAAAAAAGTAGAGACATGCCGTGGAATCATTTTTATACCAAATTCATGGATGGAATAGCTGTACATATGAGAATTCTATTATCGAGCATGTATCATTAAAATAACAAGTATCCAAATACAGCAAAATACTTGCAGAGTCCAATATAATATTTCATATATCCAGATAAACAAGCAATTATTTCGATACTGGGTAGGCAGCAATCAGCAAGTCATCATCCGAAACAAATTTCTGGAATGTCCTATAGATGAGAGCAAAAACATCTCTGGACTGTTGGTGTCATTATCCTGCGATACGATTCACATATGGATACTTCTATAAAGTTCCACGACTAAATCATTTCTGAATAAGTATCGTGTTTGCACATACTAGATTCGATATCATCCACGAAAGTAATAAAAGTATACTTTCCTTTTTCCTTTCCACAGATAAATCATAACATCAGATATCGTGGTCCACGTCATACAAGAATTAAGATCTCAACAAACTCTATTACCAAAAAAGACCTCAATTTCAAAAAAAATCCAAAATGTATTTTCCTTCAAGGCTATTGCCACATTCCAGACTTGACCAAAAACCAAACCAAAACGGGAAACCAAAAAGAAAAAAAAAAAGAAAGAAAAAGAAAAATGATCATTATCAGGGATGAATGAAGGCTCCATGATTAACAAACCTGTCCACCGGATAAAAGTATGACACCCAACTTTCCTTCTGAGATGGCCTTTATTCCCATTTTCCACCACCTTTCCCTCTCTTCCATCGTCCGCTTTTCTACTGTTGAAACACTGCTCTCTGGGACAGGCTCTATCGAGGCTGCCGGTAAACCTAATAGATCACATAAATTTAATTATCTTAATACATACATTTGTTTAAAAAAAAAAAAAAAAAAAAAAAAAACCATTTTGTTTACATATGCAAAATACAATGCGGTAGTAACAGGTGGACCTTGCGAGTGAAATGAGCATCGAATTATCCGATCAATTCTTGAGAGATCTAAGCTCTGCAATAGCATGGTATCATCAGCCCTCAACTCCAGATAGTAAACAAATACGCTCAAACAATAATATAATTACACACCACTGTAAAAATAACAATACAACTTCAGTGACAGAACAAAAACAGTAAGTACTACTATTTATCGACTTATGTATTGGATTGCAAATTTACTCTGTCAAATGGTCATCGAAAACTACAATATCACGGAATACTCCTCAGCTAAACATAAAGACGGAAATTTTCCATCTTGAGCAAAAATAAAAATCCAATCTTGACTTCCCCAAACAAGATCCAAAATAAAATTTAAGATCAATTGTCAAAACTTACTTCATCAGAGGGGAAAACAAGCACCGTTAAAAATTAAATCTTTCCAATCACAGAGCAACGAATCTCCTCTGCTAGCTAAAATAATTAAAAGAGAGAGAGAGAGAGAGAGAGAGAGGGAGAGATCAAACGGTGTGTGGACTGACCTCGATGTCCTTGACGAGGAGGTCGCGTTCATCAGGGGAGAGCTCCTCCCAGAGGGCAAAAGCGTCTTCTTGGCCGTAATCCTTGAGCCTCTCGAGCAGAGACTGCGACGGCACATTGCTGTCGTTCGCCGGCTCCCTCATTTCCTGATTCTCGCGCGTAAAGATCTCCGCCGCTGCCTCCGGATCTGTAGGCGAAAATTGGGCCGATATATACGGTGCGTTGGTGTTGGGTGGGGGAAAGAAGAAAAATGCTTTCAGTTTGGTGGTTAAGACAAAAGTATATATATGAATTAATGAAGGAATGAAGTGAACGAGTGATGAACCTCTCAAAGTCTCAACCAGTTGAAAGGAAGGAGTAAAACGATGGCAAATCTGAAATGCCACTATGGATCGACTGTCGTTGAGGGGTATTTGAGGGAATTAGATTGTTTGTACCACCGGACAACGACACACGAGTGGTTTTGCGGTTAAATCATGGGTCTTTACCCTTTTGATTCATTACTATTATTATTATTATTTGTAAAATTAAGAAAAATAATCATCATTAAAACCAATGGTTTGATCAAGTGCTCACATCCATGAGATGAAATTTTTAACATTAAATTTCTATGACTTATATAGTTATTAAAGATGAGTTGGGTCAGAATATAATCAGGATACATTTATGGACTTACAATGAAGATAGTTTTATTATTTATTAATTGTTTGGGGATAACAATAGGAATGTTATGAGTACTGTTTAAGCAAGGTATAAATAAAGAAGGCAGTGTTACAAGACACATTTTCATTTTTATTTGTGATTTTGCCAAATGTTGTGTAGTTTACACGTTCCTTTTTTTTGTTTTTTTTTTTTTTTTGTTTTAATAAGTGTTATTTTTGGGTTCACCTTTTGGTTTTCCATCTTGCTCTCTTCAGTATTGCTACTTTCCATAATTATATCAACCATTCTTTTAGAACTTTTGATTTAAACGGGTCTATTAAGCTAGAGATGTACCTAGCTTACTAACTGCTCGGTGATATGTATGATCTAGACATGGCCAAAACTCGGGCAGGGTCCCACCGGGCTCGAAAACACTGACCCTGAACCGGCACGGACCTATACTCGTGCCGGGTCCGTGTCCGGGCCGTGCCGGGTCTGGGCCGGGTCCGTGCTTTTTATAAAAAGCAGTAGAAAAAAATAATAAAAAAAATTGAAAAGAAGGGTCGTCGACCCGGCCCGACCCTGACCCTCCGGGCTGAGTCATGAAATGGATGACCCTTACACGGCCCGTCTGAAATCCGGACCGGTCCCGGACTCGTGGTCAACGAGTTTGACCGGGCCGGGTGACCCTTGGCCATGTCTATGTATGATCCATTTAAAAAGTTAGGGCATTACTATTCACCGCCCCCAATTACGTTTTTGCCCTTCACACTCTCTCTACTCTATTTCTCTACTCTTTTCCTCTCGATTTTCTACGACTCTTTTGACCGTCAAAAGAATTTCGAAAAAATGCCAAAAAAATACCATGAAATCGGCAAGACATTGAAGATAAACTATGTATTTTTTTTTAAATAAAAAATTATTTTTTTCGCGCGTCCAACCGTCCCGGTAGTACGCGCAAAAAGGCGTCCAACCGGCGNAAAATACATGGTCAATCTTCAATGTTGTCTTGCCGATGTCATGATATTTTTTTGAATTTTTTCGAAATTCTTTTGACGGTCAAAAGAAACGTAGAAAATCGAGAGGGAAAGAGTAGAAAGAGAGTGTGAAGGGCAAAAAGTTATGATGATTCGCAATATAATCAACTTTTATTCTCTTCTTTTTCCTACTAATAATTCATAAAATTAAAATAAAAGGCAAATAGATTACATTGCACGAGAGATTCCAATCCAAACCTAATCAATGGTTATTTTGGGTGGCCTTGTATGTTGGCAATCACCCGACACTTGTGATAAAGATCGCCTGATATAATCTGTCCAACAGAAAAAATAAGCTTACTCCATATCTTTATAACGTATACATATGTTAATTTTTAATAATTTATCTCAATCATTGCACAGTTACAGCAATCACCTCTATTCTTTACATTATCATGAGAGCTTGTACACCATAAAGTACAAAATAAGATAAAATACATCAGGTGAAAAACTGCTGAACCTTTCTGTTAAATGTTCCACATCAAAGTTTCTTAGAGCAACTCAAAATTCAAAAGTGTCTTCATTTTGAATAAAATTAAAAGACGAAAACATTATTTATTACCTGTTGATCCAAATGATACACGATAATCTTTCTGTACAAGCCACACAAGGAGCAGAATCCTCTTCTTGGTACTTACAAGTTTATGCAAATTCACGTAGTAGCACTCGAGTTTTCAGTATTATCATCTCAGAACAACTTTCAACTTGGTCTCCACTTGTTCCCGCACTTTCCACTGCCATTATATTCATCATCAAATATTTGAAGTTCGCAAAAGAGGGGGAAAAAAGGACATAAATCGCTTTCAATTCTGGAAGTTTTTTTTTTACCTGTAAATCATTAATCTCCTCATCGGTGAGTGATCGTTCCATTGACCTATAGGCAATCCTATAGCAGTGACTCGTCATTCCTTTCTTGTTGGTGAAGTTATCGATCAATTTCACCTATGCAAAACATAACAGCTCGTAATATTTATTTACTGTAAATTATTATTATTATCTCTTTCTGACAGAAATAATTTCAAGAAACAGCCTTGTAATGAAAATAACAGAAGTAACTTTAACTTTACCTCCTCAACAAGATCCCCAGTAATACCTCTAACAACTTCACATAGGTTGTTTTCTGTAAATGAATCACTTATCCAGAAACTCATGTCCTTATAACATGGAGGATACTGCAAATATTTTGGTCATTGGAAAAAAAATAAAATAAAAGGAGATAAATTTTTCTTTTGTATCCGTCTAACAGAGTTTACGAAAGTAGAAATTGTTAAAGAGTATTTTCTTGAAATACATCAGTACCTTCGAAAATGGTTTAAACTTCAGTCCGAGCTGTCCTTTGGAGAACTATACAAAAATAACGTTAATATAATTAGGCCAAATATTTGTGAAATGTATCACCATACAAAAATAATGTTAATATAATTCCATGATTCCAAAGAGCATCACCATACTTGTGAAGTAAACCGCTCGTCCATTGTCCAGAATAGACGGATATCTGGAATGTCGAATAAAACCATTGCTAATCGTTCTAGTCCAAGTCCAAAAGCCCAAGCGACATTATCGGTTTTACCACTTCTCTTTAATATTTCTTGCTCCATCACCCCACAGCCCAACACTTCCAACCATTTCTCCTGAAATAATACCCATTTTGTTTACTTAAACCGGAGCTAGTGGAAAAGGAAAAACTTGAAATTTTTTATTTCGATATGTGACAAAGTAAGATACCTGAAAAAATATTTCCAACTCGAATGAAGGATTGGTAAATGGAAAATAAGTGTCAATCCAACGCATTTCAACACCACCTGAAAATTTTCAATAAACCAAAACATAACATAGCAGAACTAGCAATTAATGTTCTAACATGATATAAGAACAGGTTTCAAAAACTGCAGAATCAAGATGTGACATTTTCAATTTTTACATCACTGTACCGAACAAATGGCGAGCCAAGCCCTCAAGACATTTCTTTAAATCCTCAGCAGCGTATGATGTGGCATCTCTATCAGATCCTTCCCAGTCAGATGGAGAAAAAACACGTACTCCTTCCATCTAAGAACATTCTCATGAAGAATTAATGTGGGACAAACACTTCAAATACAAAAGGATACAAAGAATAAACGCCAAAGAAAAAAAACCTGATGGAACACAGGGTAGTGTGTGGAGTCTATAGAATCTCTTCTGTAAACATCTCCAGTAACAAGAAAATGAGTGTGACCTTCCCTAAGTAATTCAGCTTGATGTGCACTCGTGTGGCACCTCAAGACAGTTTGAGAATCCACATAATAAGTATCATTGTAGCTTCTGCTTACATGGTCGGCAGGCACCAACACATCATCAAAGTTCTGAAGGTAACATAAAAGTGATACACTCAAGTCAATTTTGACATAAGACCGGTCCCTTAAATTAAAAACTGCTCTTAAAAGTACCAAAGAAAACATAAAACTCTAGAAAACTAAATTAACAAATATAAAAAGAACCTTAAAAAGTCGAAAAATGAAAGGAAAAAACTAAGAGGAACAACAAATCGTGTGGAATGAGACCGCTATAAATTAAAAGAACAAACTGCATGATATTACAACTCAAAAAAACTAAAGGGATAAAATATATGAAGGAAAAGAACAAGCTTATTTTGCATCCATTTAAGGGAATTGTCATAATTAGAAGAAACTAGAGGTTCCAGTTTCATTATTAAAGGCATGATAAAATTGTAAGGCTTAAAACTAAAACGTAACACCATGACTCGCATCCAACTTGAGAAGTCCAAAGGAAAAGTATCAAATGTGAGTAAATCTTTGTTAGAAGCCTTACTGGTGGCATTTCAAAGTATTGGAGTCATCAATATCAATGTAAGAGCAATGGACTTTCTTGTAAAAAGGAGGCAAAGATGGATGATATAAAAAAAAAAAATGAATCTTCTACATAAGGTACAATTGGTAAGCATCTATCTCACAAGCAAAGCAATTTTAGAAGATTGAAGAAAAACAAGGCAGAATATCAGAAGGGAGGATTCAAGAACCTACAGCTTTAACAGAAACTATTGGGCATAAATCGTCAAACTTGTTAAATTTGGTGGGATAGTTGGTGTCGAAATAGTCATGGATTGCATTCTTTAGTATGCCAAGAGGATGCTGATCCCTCCTATGAAGCTGCATACCGAGCTTCGAGAAAATTGAATCAGGGACATTGTTTGTTGGGTCATTCTTCACTATCTCTGCATCATGCAATTAACACAAACTATGAAACAATTGTGTGAATGTTAGAGTTACACGGGACAAAAAAAAACAACAATCATTTGTTAACAGACGACATTGGAGTTCACTGTACACATATGAGATGAATCTCAACAAAAGAATGAAGATTCCCATTTCATGGAAGACGACTGTTTACAACAAAGTGGACCCTTTTTCGGACCAAACGAAAAAAAAAAAGGTTAGTTTTTTTTCCCAAAGAACAAACTACCGACGGGGCATAACACAAGAATCACGACTCACATGCAATTCCAGGCCAGAGTTACCCCAAAAATCAGAATCTGGGTCCACTAGTTAAGAAGAGGCTAAAATGGAAAGCAGAAAAGCTAATTCGAAATTGGGGGAATTTTAATTTACCTTCTCTGGCTATCTTGACTCCTCCAAGCTCAACAAGCGAGGCGGCCGCTGGTCCCCGCCACCTCTTCTGGGAGTGTGCTTTGTCAGAAGGAAATGCAGCGGCGGCTGAGGAAGTTGAGATAGATGAAAAGTGTAGGCAGAGAGCACAGCTACTTTTGCGCAGAAAGATGGAAGAAGATCTTGAGAATAAGGTGGAGTTTGCTATTGACAGCGCCATGGAAACAAATTCTGCCCTCTGCTCAACTGGCTGTGAGCCTGTGACGTCGGAGTTCAGCTATAGGCTTTGTTTGGATAAGCGTTATTTTATGGGTTTATGACTCATGGGCCGGACTCCATTAACTCGGCTGACTTTTACATTCAGATGGCCCAAAATAGAAACACAGCCGAAGGTCCCATCAATTTACGGCCCAGGTATTTGAAATATTTTCTATGTTGCACCCAAATTTTTTCTAATCTTGCTCATTTATTTTGAGGTTTTTGCTCCTTTTTCGTTTCCTTTTTTTCTGCACTAGATATGAGTATAACTGTACAAAATGTTGTAATTACCTAATTTTATCTTGTCTACACTAGTAAGACTAGTGGAAGTGCCAAGGACAGACCAATAATTATACAGTTAGGTCACTACAAAGCCTCACCGGAGGTGTTAACAGGTTATGGAATCAGTAATCAAATTAATCATACAACTTTGACTTTTGGCCAAAAAATCTGTCATTATGTGGATTTTCGTAGGAAAAAAAGGGTAGCATAAGTCTGGTTTTCTTTCGAGACAGAAGAAATGTTTTTGTTTTGCAAGAGGTAAAATGAAGAATAGCTTCACATGTAAAAGCCAAAACAAGCACATGATGATTGAGAATAGAGCAACAAGCATAATGCCATATAAAGCTTCCATCTGTTACATAAACTGATAAAAGAAATGCCTCAGAAATCGAAATTAAATTATGAAATATGCTGAACTTATGTCGACACCCTATTATTGTACATATGTTGTGGACTCGAAAGTAAGCCTTCACTTTTTGTAGAGTGTCTCCATGGTATCCTTAAGGAGCTGAACATCTGCCCCAATCACCTCTGAGGCCTTTTTACCACCTTGAAAGAAGTGCAATGTGGGCTGCATCCACAAATTGTGCACACAAGAAAATTACTAAACCGGGATACCAAACATCACTGCACAAGTGAATTAACAAACAACTAACTTAGTAATAAATGAAAAATGATTTTACCACGGACTGGATGTTCATCCTGCCCAATGCATTTCCTAGCTCCTCCTGCACATTTCAAAGTCAACAACATCCATAGGGAAGCAAGTGAATGATGAAAACTACAGAAAATAATAATGTTCACCAGTATGTTTTACCTTATCGATGTCTATTTTATACGTAGTGACATGGGGGTATTTCTCACCGAGCTGTCCAATTATGGGGGATAATAATCTACCTGCAAAAATGAGTTATCAAGTACGAGATTAAAAACCATTTCCAGTTAAGATGTAAGGACCATAACAGTGTCTGACATCTTACATAACAGATTAAAAAAAAAAGGATAAAAAATGAAATAAAGAGAGGGAGAAAACTTACATGGGGGACACCAAACAGCAGTGTAATAGAATATTGCAGGCAAAGATTCATCTACACCACGTTCAAGTTACAAAATGGTCAGCCCTCAAGACATGCAACTTACAATAGCAAAGAAAACAAAAAAATCCCCAAGTGAAGCAGAATATATTTGCAAAATAAAGTCTCTTGACACAAGTATACCTTGGACCTTGCGAAGTAAATCGTTAAACTGCTCCTCAGACTCAATTGACACCACCTTGGATGGATCTATAAACCAAGAGTAACACATAACGAGTATCAAACTAAAGTACATCAACGATAACTGAAATCTATAAACCCAAAGTAACACATCACGAGTATCAAACTAAAGTACATCGATGATACTTTAAAATCACATAAGGCTTTTCTTTATCCAGGAATGCGCCTACACGACTTTAGGGAGAAATCAAAACAAATCATTGTGATTAGAATCAATCACTGATTCCCTTTTCCGACAAAAAGTCCACTTTTTTTAGTACATATTAGTGCCATATAAGCTAATGTTCCTCACAACCTTAACTAGGAATGAGCAAATTAAACTGAATAACTCAAAATCAGCTCCTACATATTCAAAATATCTCGGTGTCTAGACCTGGATTCCTATTTGCAAACAGCCTCAGCATGATAATTAGAATAAGCTAATTCCATGGACAGCAGAAACTCCACATAACTATATTATGTCAGATTATAAGCCGGCTACAATATATCTTCAAGTGTCAATACTGAAAATCCAAATTCCACTGAACTCCAAAGCCAAAAACACACACATAGGGAATAAATAACATCATTTCTTGACAACTCAGATTCATATAGACCTGTGGAGGGCGAAGAGGAGAAGCTCCGAGAATGGTTCAGGAAAGCGCCCTGGAAGCCTGCAGGCGCCGTTGATGATGAGAAGAAAAGCGGGCGGATCCCGTCTTCGGCGAGGATTAGGGAGGAGCACGAAGCGGCGGCAGCCGAAGAGATAATTAGGTTCTCGCAGACAGAAAGCGATCGACCGGCGACGCAAGGGACTCTTCCGGCTGCCAAACGACGTAGCATTGAGCTCACCCCTCTCATTTTTCTCCACTCCCAATTGTCGGACAAAATCAGAACGAGGGTTTTGGAGTGAGATTTTGAATAATTGAATTAGATAAATTGGATTTTTTTATTTTATTTTTCCTTTTTCTTCACAATGCAGATATATAGAATAGCGTCTTCGCGGTCGATTATTGGGCCTTGGTTTACTTCAGCGAGCCCACTAAAAAACGGGAAATTTTTAGGTCTCCTACAAGGAAACTTAGGGGGTGTTTGTTTATGTAATAATTTGTTCAAAATGAGTTATTTTGGTTAATTAGAGTTAATTTTAAAAAAAGATGGTATGGTTAGTTGTTAGTGGAATTTTATGAATGTATTAAAATAATATTTAAAATAAAATGATTAAAATTGATTTGATGTAAAAGTAGGAGACAAATGATTGAAAATGATTGGAAATGATAGGTAGTTAAAATTATGTGAGTGGATGAATAATGAATTAAAGTTGATGTGATGTGTAAGAATGATTGATTTGTATAATTTAATTATATAACTAATATTAAAGATAGTGAAGTTGAGTTAAAAAGTTGAGTTAGATTTTGAGTATGAATTGAATGAAAATGAAATAATTTATAAACAAGCATGCCCTTAAAATATTGAAAAAATACCATCTACATTAAAAATACTAGTATAAGTCCCGTGCAATGCACGGGTAAAAGATATTTATTAATATTTATAGTTAAAAATTCTTATTAAATTTTACCAAAAAAAATTCTTATTAAATAATATTTATAAATTTAAAATATGGAATCAATATGTAATACAATTTACTTATATTAATTTATTGAAAGTGTTATATAAAGTCTAAATTGTGCAAAATTACATAAAAATGTCTATTTAAAATTAGTATACAACCCGTGTGGTGCACATAACTGATAATAAATTACGTTATATTCGTTTCAAAATAAGTACCATTCCAAAATTTTGATTCAGAAAATCGATTTGACTATATGTGATTCCATAAAATAGTTATTTTGGTAAAATGTTACCATATATTTAACAGTCTATGTGAATAATAAGTATAAATATAAATTTTATATTGTTTCATTACTTCAAATAATTTATTATTGTATAAACTATTAAAATAAAAAAAAATAAGTAGCTGAGTAATTTATTAAATTATAAATAATTGACTATTTCATTTACGTCCAAGTTAATATTGACCCGTAAGTTATATAATTGATTATTTTGTTTACGTCCAAGTAAATATTGACCCGTAAGTTATGAATAATTATTTTTTATTTTTAAATTTAAATATAAATCTTTTTATTTTTTTGTAATATATTATATACTAAATTTAAACCATGTAACTAATAAAGGTAATAGCTGCAAGTTTTGTCAATATATTATATTTCAAATTTAAATCATGCAACTAATAAAGGCAATAGCCGCAATATCTGACCAAAATGATTCTGTACATTAATTTAGGCGGGATTTTTTTAAATTTTGACAAAAAATATTACTCAAATAGTTTAGGCGGGAAACCAAATGTTATTTTACCTCTTTTTAATAAAAAGAGATTTAGATTAAATTAAGTTTATACGTGTGGAGTGAAAAACAATAAACATAAGTAAAAAGATCTCTATATGATTTGTATAATGGTGAACTGTTGGCTTTTTATTTATATGTATATAAAAAGATGTACATTCCAAATAATTAAGTTTAGTTATCGCGAAGTCCTCTTCATCGTTTTTAGGGTAGATTTATTATATTTATATGGATAATATATCCATCATAATTGTATTTTTAAAGATAATAAATCGATGAAAACATAATATGAAATATATACCTTTATCATTAGTCTCGACCAATTTGATTACTTTATCTGTATAACTTTGAAATGAATGTATTTGTTTTTTTTAATTATTATTTAAGTTGTATATATTGCATAACTATATGTTAAAAAAATAATATTTTTCTATTGAAATATGCGATTTATATATATGTATATAAAAACTTATATTAATTTTTCAATAAAGATTAAATTTTGTATTTTTATTTTTTATTATAGCATTCCCATTTAAAAAATTGTTACCATGATTAGTGTAAAAAGCTTAACAAAATAATTGTCACGTGTAAAAAGATTAATAAAAAAATAAGATTTTCATGATAATGGATTTGTATATATCTAAATCATCTTTTCCTGCAATACCACAACATCCGTCCGCAGAAACGTGTTCATAAGAGAAGAATTAACTCAAAAACTGAATTTAACCAAATAAATTACAAACTCATTTCTTTTTTTTCACGGCTAATTATCTTAAACAATTACTCATTTGATGGATGATACCATAATTTAAACTCGGCTTGATTACCTAAAAAACAGGAAATAAAAAACAGATCGGTAGACATATGAAAATGTGATTTGTAGATAGGTGAGTTTAGTCAAACAAAATCTTTTATATATATATGTCTATACAAATGAAATCCAAATCCCAAAAAAACTGAAAACGTGCATGCATGGAATAAAAACAATTCAAATACCTGCATGAAAAATTTCAAATTAAATTGTAAGGGGGAAAACAGCTTTTAAGCGGGAAATTGAAATATTTTTTCAAACATTTTTTCTTCTCTGTATTTTATAGTAATAGATTGTATCTCTACCTAATTATTGAAAATATACTACATAAAGCCCTAAAAATCAATTACCCACTAAGTGGACTGCATTCACTTTTCACTCGCGTGATTTGCATGGGAATGAAAATAGGGATATTGTTACCGGAGATAGAAGTCTTCCCCCTTGCTAATTACCAAGAACTTCGTTTTGTTTCTTAAAAAAAAAATCTTATCTGTAATGGTTTTGCATATCAATTAGAAACATGGGAAAATTGACTTTGAAGAATACTCATCAATATTACACACAAAATGTCAAGGAAAATATACTGATGATTGTGGAGTGAAAGGACGATTCATCATAATTCATCAAGGAAGCCGATATTCTGTCAAAGTCGATTCACACCCAAAAAAGAAAAAAAAAAAGAGTGAAACGACGATTGTGGAGTATATTTTTGTCCATCAATAACGATTGTGAGGTATATTTTTCGATCAGTATTTGTCTTCCTGTTACCTGGTTTTGTCCAGAACGATTCACGCAAAAAATAAATAAATAAATAAATAAATTGAAAGGACGATTGTGGAGTATATTTTCTCTATCAAGAACGGTTGTGAGATATATTTTTCGTTCAGGATTTGTCTTCACGTGTTTTTTTATTAGTTTATTAATATATTTTTATTAATTTATATATTTTTTTTGTGACATTCACTAAAACGTACATCATTTTGTCTATAGATAAGGAATAAACTCTTCCATATCTTTAAATCAACTAGCCATATACTTGGGATGAAAAAATAGAAAAAAAAAATGACAAAATGGAATGTGTTGCACACCGACAGTGATATATACTTGAAATATACATATCATATACCAACTGTTACATAATTGAAGCATGTCCCAAGCATGTCCCAGATTATATGATAAGTATATATTAGTTTATTAATACTATATCACATTGTCATATACTTATCATATACTTGTATATAACCAACACCTACTTAGCATAAACTTGGTATAAATCCTACACACACTACTTAGCATAACTTGACAGAGAGTAAAAATTTCATTATACTTGAGATAAGACCATTACACAAATGTGTCTATACATGGAATAAAATATCCCATATACTTTAAATCAACTAGCCATATACTTGGGGAGGAAAAAAAAAACATAAAAAAAAAAAATCAACACCGAACTCTTTAGAAACTATTTTCAAAAAGCATCTTGATATTATTAAAGTAATTGTAACTAGAATCATCTAGGATATTTTAAGTCGCTTATCAATCGACATTAACCACTATAAATAGGCTTGAGTGGTGAGAATTATGTGTGTGAGTGAATTTACTTTGTGTGTGCTGAGTGAGCAAAATAATAAAAGTGAGGTGTGTGCTTGTGTAGTGTGAGTGCTTACAAATAAAATTTATTGTGAGTTGTGATAGTGATATTTGTAATAAATTATTTGTATAATAAAATCATTTTGTTGAGTTAATCTTGAGTGTATTGGTCATTTATGTTCAACACGTGGTATCAGAGCCACGTCCGGAGAGTTCAAGCTTGTGCCAATATATTCAAGGCTCATCAGTTGCCGTCAACCAGAGGGAGATTATTGAGTTCAAAAACGTCGTGCGCAATTAAAAGAAATTGTGAAGCGCGTGAGGCTTGCTTGGTTACGAGGAGGTAGTCCAAGTCACGATGGCGGATTTACAATCAGTATGCGGAATGGAGAAACTCAATAATCAAAATTATACCACATGGAGGACATGCATGGAGTCGTATCTCCAAGGCCAAGATCTATGTTAAATTGTTGGCGGAGAAGAGGTCACGTCACCTGAAGAAGTTGGAGCCTTACGTAAATGGAAGATAAAGGCGGGAAAGGTCATGTACGCCCTCAAGACGACTATCGACAAAGAGTTGCTGGAGCACATACGGGAAGCAAGCACTCCAAAACAGGCGTGAGACACTCTGGGAGCATTATTTTCCAAACAGAACGAGTTCAAGCTACAACTTCTCGAGAACGAGCTCCTGTCACTCAAACAAGGGGAGATGACGGTACGCGACTACTTTAACAAGGTACGAACCCTTTGTCGCAAAATCTCTGAATTGGACCCCACTGATAAAGTTTCAGAAGCTAAAATGAGAAGAATTATCATCCATGGCTTAAGACCCGAATTTAGGGGGATTATAGCCGCTATACAAGGATGGTCAGAGCAGCCTTCTTTGGTAATTTGAAAATATATTAGCTGACCAAGAAGCGCTGACCAGACAAATGACGGAGGTCTCATTAAAGAAAGAAAATGAAGCTTTATTTAGTTATAAAAAGAATATGAGACCACGCCAACAAAATAAAAGAGACAAAAAGGAATATATTAAAAAGGAAGAAAGAAGTTCTGAAACAAAAGGGGTCCAACAAGATCGTTATAAGAAGTATCAGACGTCCAAGGGAAATAAAAAGAGCCCGTGCTACGTATGCGGCAAGCAAATCACTATGCCAGAGACTGTTGGCATAGGAA